AACTGTGCAAACAAGCGTGCAAGATGCTGCAAGGGTGCACCCCCCACCTCCCTACCATCACCCCCTGCCTCTGTCCCAAGACAGGACCTCTTAGAGTCAGCCCCTCTGCACGCTCATTAAAGACTCGTGGCTAATTTTTATGGGCTCTTTTTAAATGTGGATTTTCCTGGAATTCCCTCCTGTTTTTTTTTTTTTTATATATATATATATGTGTTCAGATATCTTTTAGTGTTTGTCACTCGTGACGCGTAATAAGCTACTTTAATAAAGCGATGTGTATATAAAGGTCTATAAGGAACCTGGTGCTTCTGTCGGAGGGGGAGGTTTTCCCGGGGGTGCGGGAGGGCAACGTGTCACGGGGGGTGGAGGGGGGGGTCATGGCAAAGAGCCTGCGTCTTATTTTCACTCTTTTCTTCCCATCTTGGCTCTGCCCTCCCTACCGGCAGCTCTGACTCTTGTTTTAACACTTTCCCTGCACATTAAAGTAATTTATAGAGTATTTCTCCTCCCGCCACACACCCCCACCCCCTGCTTTTCCCCAAGGGCAAATCCCAGGCTTTCTCCTCCACCAGAAATCCTGGGGGCTAATGAGCAGCTCGTTATGACAAGCCTTCACCGAGGGTGTAATAACCGCTGCCGCCCTGCCCGTTTCCAGGGGGAACGTTTCCAGGCAGGCTGAGGTGCCGGAGAAACAGGTTTAGTTTTCCTCCCGGCGGTTCAGTGGAAGGGGCTGGAAGAACCACCCCACTCGTGTCCCCACCACCTCTGCCAGCCCGGCAGGGCGCTTCCACGGGGAGCTCAGCCTGGCCTGGATGCCCACCGTGGGCTGCAATGCCCACCATGGGATGTGGTGCCCACTACAAGTGTGCGATGCCCACGATGGGTGTGATGCCCTCAATGGGATGTGATGCCCACAATGTGGTGAAATGCCCTCGGTGGGTGTGATGCCCATGCCAGTGTGCAATGTTCACAAAGGGTTGTGATGCCCTCAATGGGATGTGATGCCCACAATGGGATGCCATGTCCACGATGGTGTGTGATGCCCTCAATGGGGTGTGATACCCATGCCAGTGTGCAATGCCCACAATGGGTTGTGATGCCCACGATGGGGTGCAATGCCCTCAATGGGATGTGATGCCCACAATGGGATGCCATGTCCACGATGGTGTGTGATGCCCTCAATGGGATGTGATGCCCATGCCAGTGTGCAATGTCCACAATGGGTTGTGATGCCCACGATTGGGTGCAATGTCCACGATGCGGTGATGCCCCCAATGGGGTGTGATGCTCATGCCAGTGTGCAATGCCCACGATGGGGTGCAATGCCCTCAATGGGATGTGATGCCCACAATGGGGTGCGATGCCCATGATGGGATGCCATGTCCACGATGGTGTGTGATGCCCTCAATGGGGTGTGATCCCCATGCCAGTGTGCAATGTCCACAATGGTTTGTGATGCCCACGATGGGGTACAATGCCCTCAATGGGATGTGATGCCCACAATGGGGTGCAATGCCCACGATCAGATGTGAGGTCCACGATGGGGTACAATGCCCACGAAGGGTTGTGATGCCCACGATGGTTTGTGATGCCCACGATGGTTTGTGATGCCCATGATGGGATCCAATGCCCACGATGGGATGTGATGCCCACGATGGGGTGCAATGCCCCAAATGGGGTGTGATGCCCACGATGGGTGCAATGCCCTCAATGGGATGTGATGCCCATGCCAGAGTGCAATGCCCATGATAGGATGTGATACCACGACAAGGTGCAGTGCCCTCAATGGGATGTGATGCCATGATGGGGTGTGATGCCCATGATGGGATGTGATGCTCACAAAGGGTGCAATGCCCTCTATGGGTTGTGATGCCCACAATGGGTAGTGATGCCTGCACCGGGGTGCAATGCCCTCAATGGGATGTGATGCCCCTGTCAGAGTGCAATGCCCATGATGGGTTGTGATGCCCAAGATGGGATGAGATGCCCACGCCAGGCTGCAATGCCCATGATGGGATGTGATGCCCATGCTAGGGTGCAATGCCCACAACGGGATAGGATGCTCATGATGGGTTGTGATGCCCACACCAGGGTGCAATGCCCTCAACGAGATGTGATGCCTGCAATGGGTTGCAATGCTCATGTAATGCCCACCATGGGATGTCATGCCCATGCTGGCTGTGATGCTGATGCTTGCCCTGCCCTAGCGCAGCCACGCTGCTGCCAGGACGCTGTAGCCCAGGTGTCATGTGGCACCATGCTGCCTCCCAGGATGTGCCTGTCCCCACACTCCCCAAATTCTGCTTTTTGTGGTCTCATTTTTAGCTGCAAACCCCTTCCTGACCCATCCAGCCACAGCTGCCAGGACTCAGCCAGGGTTCTGGCATGGCCAAGGCCACCCCTGCCCACCAACTGCTTCATGAGGCTGATGCCCAGGGGATCCCCCTTTGATCTGGGAGGGCTCTTTCCCCAGGGTGTCCCCTGAGATGTCACCACGGTCTTCATCCTTCCGAGGGTGTGAAGCCTGTCCCTACACCAGCTGGAACGCCACAGGCAGGGGGAGCATCAAATTCAACTCCCATTCCACAAATAGCAGGGTTATCTTTATTCCTTCCTGTCCAGAGAGATTTAAGTGCCAACCACGCAAAAACATTGTTGTTTTAGGGCCAGGAGCCCACAACAAGCGTGAAGGAGAGGTTGGTAACAGGATTTCTCCCCAAATGCGTGGTTTAACCAGCCAGGCCGAGAGCGTCCTTCCAGCCTCGCTGTCCCTGGTGGGTTTCATAGAATGGGTTGGGTTGGAAGGGACCTCTAAAGGCATCTAGCCCTACCCCCTGCAAAGAGCAGGGACATCTTCAACCAGACCAGATTGCTCAGAGTCCCATCCAACCTGACCTGTAATGTTTCCAGGGATGGGGCAGCCACAGCTTCTCTGGGCAACCTGGGCCAGGCTCTCACCACCCTCCCACCAAACAAGTTCTTCCCCACAGCTCAGCTCCATCTCCCCTCTTTCAGGGTCAAACCCTTCCCCCTCCTCCTGGGGCTCTCCTCCCTGATCCAGAGTCCCTCCCCAGCTTTCCTGGAGCCCCCCTTCTTTAGGGACTGGAAGGGGCTGGAAGGTCTCCCCGGAGCCTTCTCTTCTCCAGGCTGAACCCCCCAACTCTCTCAGCCCCCCCTCCCAGCAGAGGGGCTCCAGCCCTCCCAGCATCTCTGTGGCCTCCTCTGGCCCCATCCAACAGCTCCATGTCCTTCTGCTGTTGGTGGCCCCAGAGCTGGAGGCAGCACTGGGG